GACAAACCCGTAACAATATGCGTTTTGTACTGCTGTTACACAGCACAAAACGCATAAAAAATAGCGACATGAACCAGACCATGCGTTTTGTGCATTTCTGCACAGTGGGCAGCTGTTGTTCGAAATATTCACTGTTTTATGGTTTGGTATGCGCAGGAATACATGTCCATGAAAGCTAGATTTGAAATTGTGGATTCGAATATTAACAGAAAATGTCTTCCAACAATTTTGTTTTTCTGTTTTGTCTAGTTTTCGAACTAAAAATTATGTGGAATCTCGTTTGTCCGCATCTAAGAAATAAGCGTAAATGAAAACTGAATTTAAAGTTCTAGGGTTATATATTTAGAAGAAACACACTAAATTCATCTTGCCGGTCATCGAGACAGAAAATTTCGTGGCAAAACTCCCACATTTTCAAAAATTAAACTTAGACATAAGGGCAAATGGCTTTGAATTTTTTGGGATCGCACATTAAAGAGTTTCAAGTTTCCTAGCTTTTGCGGCTCCCGAGTTACTAATTTTGCCTTCAAAACTTTCATTTGTCTGGGCGTCAGGTATTGTGCGTGGGGACTGAATTTAAATTGGCGAGGCCGCACGTAGGCAGGAGTTTTCTCCTAAAATTTTAGCTTCCTAGCTTTTACTTTCACAAGTGATTGATTCTGGTGCTCAAATTTCCACGTGTCCCCACATGTCATCTATGCTTGCGTGGGGTGGGTGAAAGCATTGTGGGATGGAAACACCCGAAAATTCCCCTGGATCCGCCTACGCTTAGAATCACAGTATGAGATGGGTGGGTGAGTGGATAACCGAGAAGAGCGAGACGGAACGAAACAGAGGCAAAATAGGATTCGGAGAGGGCGGCAACAGAAAAAAATCAAGGAACTGCTGCTGCTGAAATGAGTTCAAAGCGCTCATCTCCTTTCATCGTCCCCCAAGGTTGAAAAATTTAAATTCCTTGATGTCAAGGCATCGTAAATCTCCTCCTCATGCTTCCTCATCTTCCTCACTGATCACCTAAGGAGCCGGTTCTAATACCCCATTTTTCCCTTCAATAATTAGTGTAAATGGGAATTACATTCCCATTTCATTTGTAGCTCTTATTCCACAATAATTGTTTTTGTCCCAGTTCCCCATCCTTCCTCTGGTCGTAAAATTCAATTTCCTGGGTCAAGTCATCGCTCTCCAATAAGCCTAGTTTCCTTTGTCTTCATTATTTTATTGACTCCAACTTCCTCCAAAACAAATCCCTCTTTAACAAGTTAATCCCTCCCTTAAAAAGGAGTGCCAATAAGCGTGCCGTAGTTGGCACCCCCACCCCCGTCGTTGCCACACCCGCTTCGCTAACATGAAGCCATTACAGACTCAACGCTAGAAATCCGCGTGGCGGCTCTCACCCAACTCTCCGTCAGTGGGGCCAACCCGCTGCCCTATCGCTGCCCCCCTGGCCCAGTCCCCTTTTCCCCTGTACCTCTGGTACTTCTCTACCTCCTCCTCCCCCTCCCCCCTCCTGCAGTCTCATTTTGTCTTGGCCTGGGCTGGGAGGGAGTGTATAGGGCTCATGTAGATTACTAGGATTTGTATACTTTGTTGTTGCGGTTTCTTGTGGTTTAACAACGCAAATTCGAAGTTAAATAAATTTATTCCATCCGTGGTGCGGCGAGCGTCCTCAAAGCAACATCGGCTGCGCGAGTTGAGTTGAAGAGAGAAAAGTGATTGTTAATTCACCCAGGTCTCGCTAGAACAGTTCGGCACATTCTCGGACGACCTCTGTAGGATCCGGCATATTGTCATTTTATTTATAATCCTAGTACTCTGCATCTACGGGACGATCTACAAATATTTAATTGGTAGCAGCGAGTGGTTTGGATCAAGTAAGCGCCAGTGGCCACCCCTCGAAAGTCTCGGCCGAAAACAGCATCAGCTGTGCCAATCAACGGCCGCCACATTCACATCCCGCACCATCCAGTGCACATCATAATTCTTCGATACCTCTGCGTCATCTCGTAGCCTTTGATGCGACCAACCAAATCAGCATAGCATCGTCGGCATCGGTCGTCGCTGATCAATGCCGCCCGCTTCAAGGTGCCCGCTCCAACACAGTAGCCGTGTTAACTGCGAGCACTAGGTCCAACTGTGCCCCCAATCAGCAGCGTCAGCTGCTCCAAATTTCAAAAAGAACTTTCAGCGTTGCGCCGTGGTAACCTATGTCCCCTCACTTACCTATAATCCCTCGGTGCAGTACTTTATTGCGGTGTGACCACAACCGAAGCAG